TCTGTATCTTTAAATGATAATGTCTATCTCTAGCTTGAAAAATACAATTGACTGGTCGGGCCATAAATAGCACATGGATTTCCTTGTTTGACAAACAGTAGAAATGAAGCAAAATCTGACTTCTGTTTTTAATGTACGAGTTACAGTAACAGTTTTTGTCCATCTGCAGTCAATCAAGGCTTCTCAATTCTACCTCCACAACACCTCTCACATCAGCCTCCTTTCTACTCCTACAAGCACCACCCTCATTCAGCCTTTCATTACTTCTCAGCAGGACTACTACAACAGGCTTCTTTCTAACTGATCTTCTTGCCTTCACTTTTCTCTCCAATCTACCCTCTACACAGCTGCCAAATTAAAGACCCTAAATTACAGGTCTGATCATGTCACTTCCATGCTCTAAAAGCTTCAGTAGTTCCCTGCTGGATCTCTGTGAAACCACAAACAGATATATTTGGCATGTAAATCTTCAGGCCCCCTAAAGTATACACTTTGTCTATTGACTTACCTGTTTCATTTTTGTCTTTGCATCCCCAACCCCTAGCATAGTGCCCGGCACCTAGTAAACAATTAATAAATGCTTGTCAAATAAATGAATGAACCATTTCACACTTCCACTATTGAACTGTCTCTCCTCAAAGTCTGAAGAATGACAACACCTGTCCTGAGACTATGGTACAAAATAATTCTGCCCAAGACTCTAGATTGGAGATGGCCAAGCTCCTAAATTTTGCCTCTGCAGTATTCCAGAACCTAAAATAATGTAACAGCTCTGGAAAGTTGCTCCTAGCCTAAGAAGTGCACTTTATTTATATATAATGTAAATATTTCGGTTTTTTCCCATTCATGTTCCAGAAGTTATCCCAAAAGTCTTAATGCAGTTTTAAGTGTTAATAGCTGCACTAAGATTTTTGGGACACCCTGTATTTATGTTTAAACAGATATTTGTCCATATATTTCTTCCTATAGGGTAAAGATTGTACCCATCAAATCTGTTCTGCATAGTTGTCAATATTAATTAAGGATTTTTTTTTAGTGATTATTATTCTGGAGATAATGATGAAAGTTCAAATCAACTCCTATGTCCACTGGTTGCCTATTTTCACATCTGGCTCCCTAAGGCTATGAGCCTCTTTATATCTCCCTGCTTCCTATCACTCTGTTAACTTTTTTTTTGTCCTATTAAGGTGTTTGTCAGCTTCCACTTCCCACTCACCATTGACCATTTAAATACTAAAATTCATATAATTTTTTCAAATAATTTTGTATCATATTCTTGTAAAAACTTAATGAAACTTAAAAAAAATAAATCTAAAATACATGAGGTGCTAGAAAAAAAGACAGCTTTATTAGATACCATTTTTAAACCTAAAAATACTTGTGAATTGCTTCCCCGTACTTCATGGCAGACTTGAAGATCAATAACAACAAAATTAAAAAATATTATATTTTTTTCCTGGTTTGAGTCATCTCTAAATCTAGAGGAGCCTGGGCCTGGAGAAACAGTTATAATCAATTCCCAAAGCCCCTCAGTAACAACATGTCCTCTCACAATGACACTTCCGCTAAGTCAGCCCTATAGCTAGCTAGTTATTGTCTACTTTCTTAGATAATTTCCAGCACCCGGGTACCCAAAAAAGGTGATATTGGACTAAATGTCTGAACCAATGTTCAGTCATTCCAGCACTGTCAATCTCAGGATGACTCATCATTCATTCATTCAGCCAAAGGCATTCATTAAGTTCTACCACATGCAAAGCGCTATCTACCATATATTATGGGAAATAGAAGAGTGCTGAACTTAGGACCTGGATTAAAATTCTAGCTCAGCTATTTACTAGTTGTGTGGGAATATCAATTTGCTTTTATGGGTCTCTGTTTTCTCTAAATCCTATGACCCTAAAAATTACAATCCCTAATCTGAAGGAACCCATACCATAGTTGGGGCACAAAAATATACATGACAAACCAGAAAACAAATCAAATCAACATAAGCAAGAAAATGATACATGGTACAAATTGAATACATGACTCCTAAGGGAAAATAAAAAAAGAAAAAGATCATTCTAGAAGTAGAGTTAATCAAGAAAGCTTCTTTAAAAAGCAGAGCACTGAATTAATCCTTCAGGTGTCAGATTTGGATTTCAAGGGAGGAGGGACACAGTTAAAGATGACGTGTACAGGCAATGGTAAAGGGATGGAGCTAAGTAAAATTTCTGTATCAGGAAGTAGTGAGAGATGGAGTTGGAGAGATGTTCTTTTTCCCTTCCTATTACCTTATGAATATCATTCACTAGGTAGGTTGGTGAAATTCAAAACACTTACTTTTGCAATTTTTTTTTTAACAGCTCAGAGAAGACTTTTTGTTGTGGAGCAAATTGAAGCAAAAAGCTAAAATGAGTTTGGGGATTACCCTTAGATCTCATTTACCTACTTGACAGCACTTTGTTATCCCACATAAAAAGTGATCATATCCCATTCCATACTGTTGGCTAATAAAACTAAGTGGTGATTACCATTTATGCCATTTTTGAATGATAACACACATACAAACACATAAACACACACACACACAGCATATGTTTGAAAAAGAAATCTAGATTTGTTTTGAATAATAAAAAAATAAACAATGCTATAATCTTACCTTGGTTTTTAGCTGGTCTTAGGTTTGCTAAAGCAACAATCTGATGCCCAGCAGAAACACACTGCATCATATTATAGCAGCTATCCTTCCCACCACTGAGGGAAAAAAAAGTAATAGTTATACAATAGGGTTACTTCAAAAATAACTAAAACTAAGTATAGCTTAACTTTTCATAATTTTTCAGTGATTGCACCTGAATTAGAATGAATTTTTAAAAACATGCAATTTCCAAATTATATACAACCTAAGCACTTAAATTTGGATGATTAAGGCTAATACAAACATGAAATAATTCGCCATCATTAATTTCTAAAAACATCCAAGATTTCAGATTCTAAACTAAATCTGGTAGGTGTTTTATTTATGTCAGTAGTCTTATTTAATGTACAAAATATCTGATAAAGAAATGTCTCGATTTTTTAAAATTTTAGCTAAATTTTTACCACACAGGCTCCCTAAGTAAAATTGCCCTTGAAAAATTAAAAAAAACCAAAATAGCCCCAAACCAGAAAATCAAAACTTTTTATCTTGCCACAATAAAACCTAACAACTGACAGCTATCAAGGATTAAAGGACAGACTGAAACACTAGGTGTCCCAAGAGTTTTGGTGCAGTTTTGAGCTATTAAGCTTAAATACAGGGATATACTGTATTTGAGAACTAGCAAAAGACAGTGCTCATTTACTCTAAATTGACATTACTTGATACTGATGATCTGTAAAAATGGGAAGCTAAACACTATCAAGAGTTAGATTAGTGGCTAGAACCCTACAAGTCAGGGAGCCTTGGGTTCAGATCTGATACTAGCTGTTTGAAGAGAAAATGAGCAAGTCATTCCACCTCACTGAGTCTCAGTTTCCTCGGCTATAAAATGGGGATAATCACATCAGTAGTACCTACTTCATTAGGCAATTGTAAGGCTAAAGGGGATCATGTATGTAAAGCACTTTCCAAACTTTAAAACACCATATAGCTATCAACTATTGTTGCCAATGTTTCTATTTCCACACCACTAAAGAACAGGCTAGAGCCCATTGCCCTGATAAATATAGTGTTAGACTTTGTTCATTTCAGTTCCAATTCTACCCCTGGCTCCCTCCATAGTGAAACACAAATCACTGTGCCCAGGCAATTGGGCAGACAACATATACTAGAATGGCAATCTGGAAGGTGGCAGGAAGGGAGGCATTTTTCCAACCTTCTCTAGGATCTATTCTTCTGCTCACTGATTCCCTCTCACTCTTCTATTTCCTTTATTTTTCTCTCTCTTCACTGTTCCACCCACCCACTCGTGACTGCCCATAAACCCATCACACGATGGGGGTAAAGAGGGTGCTGCCTCTTGACCTAGTCGTTAGCCCTATTCTCACTTGTGAGAATACTTGAGATGAGACTCCGTAGATCATAGGCTATATTTTGCTCTACAGCTAACATTTATATTGCACTTATTATGTGTCAGGTGCTTTACAATAATCACATTTGATCTGCACAACAATCCTGAGAAGTGCTATGATTATTCCCATTTTACAGATGAGGAAACCGAAGCAAACAGGTGACTTGCCCAGGATCACACAGCTAGGAAATTGTTCGAAGCCTCATTTGAATTCGGGTCTTCCTGACTGCAGGGCGCCGCCGTCCCCCCCGCCCCTTAGCCTCTATCCATTGCACTACCTAGCTGGCCCCAAGAGGATGGGAATAGGAGAGGGGCAGGGAGTGGGGTTTGTTACGGCAGAAAGACTTAGAGAGGAGAAAAAGGAAGACAGGAGACAAGGGGTAGAGCAGCGCGCAAAGAATGGGCTGTGAGCTAAGGACCAGAAATTAACCTGGGGGGAGGCGGGACCACGGAGGGTAAGGAAGCCCCCAGCCGGGCACTAGAGGCAGCCCCGAGACTCCGCCTCTTCCGGTCTCCGGAGAAGCACCAGCTTCGGCCTCGGATCCCTACACACGGCACCGCGTCTCCATGTAAAGAAAGATAGACACCAGGCCCTTGGGCGGCGGAGGTAGCCGCCTTCTCCCCAGTAGCAGGGTGGAGGAAGGCCGCGGCGGGGGCCGTGTTACCTGATCAGAGCCGCGACCCTCATGTCAGGGTCCCCAGCGTGCGCGCGGACGCGTGCGGTCAGAGAAAGATTAGAAACTCGCGCGCCGCTTCCGCCTGGGGGGAGGGGCTTTGGCGCTCAACTTCGCGGCGAGGACCCGCTGCTGTAGCGTTCTCTGCACCGCCTGCTCGGAAACGCCGGCGACCACCGCGTCCCTGCTGGGCACCTGCTTGCGGAGTCTTCGGGACACTGAGTAGGACGATTTAGGCTCTTTATCGCTGAGGTTGGCGTCCTCCGTCCCGGAAGGGGGTAATTTTTTTTTTCTTCAGGCGCCTTGTAGTCACCTACATAAGGGCAAAGAAGCTCCCCAAGAAGGGGCGAAGCCTGTAAAATTAGAAGCTGGGTTAGCGCTGAGACTCCGGAGAGCTTTGGGAGAAAGTTGCTGGGTCAAACCTCAGGTTTGACTTTTCTTTCACCTTTTTTTTTTTTTAATGCATGTGCTAGTATAGTAATCTAAACATAGGTAGAAATATTTCCGCCTCCATTCCACTTCACTTCTTTTGCTACTTCTTTCCCTTACTCCCCCATGTTTCCCCCCCCAAAAGAGTATAGAACTGATTTCTAATGTTCCCCCACCCCATTCCATTATAATTTTTGTGAATAGTGAGGCAGACAGATTAATAGTATCATACATTTAGAGGGAGTTGGGACATAAAGCCATCTAATCCAGCTCCCTCGTTTTACTGTCAGTCAGCTAGCACTTATTAAGCTCCTACTATGTGTCAAGCACTTGGTGAATGCTGGGGATACAAAGAAAGGCAAGACAAAACAGACCCTGCTCTAGAGGAGCTCTCTGTTTAATGGGGATAGCATGCAAACAACTATGCAAACTAGACAAATTATGTGCAAACTGTGTGTGTATGTGTGTGTAATGGGGGAGGGAGTTCACAGTGCCCAGTGTACAAAGAAATGTTTAATACCTGGCATTCCAGAAAACAAAAAACACTCAAGGCACACTTTTAAACTTAAGATTCATTATTAACCTTTCCTACATTTTGGGGAGGAGGGAGAGGGTCTGGAGACAAACCACAAAATAATTAAGCCCTGATTTGTAGTTTGCCATTCCTCAAATCCAATTTACTTGCAAGTTATGGCATCACCTTCCTGATGTCATGGTCCTTTTCTAGAACAAAGGACAAACAACAACCTGTAAGTAGTAGTTGCTGCCCTTCTAGGGACCCAACTGGCCAGTTCCAGTTGGACAGTGCAGCTCTTTCCTTCTCTCCCTCTCTCCACTGTAAGGTATCATACCCTTACCTGCAGGTACTCTGCCCAAAGGAATGTAAATTTTGATTGCTGAAACTTCCCAAGTTAAATTGGGGGTTACTGGCTGGATCTCTTTCTTAAGGACCTTGCCTTAAACCCAAATCACTCAGGTTCTCATTGATTGGCCAACAATAGGTGCCAGCCCAAGTCTCACTTGGTCATTGCTCAGGTTTTGATGGCTCAGAGTGAGTATAATAGCAGTCGTTTCCATTTTGACCAGAAACCGTGAGAGTCTTCCCCTCTCAGATTTTTTTTTAACTAGGTAGAAGAAGCCATTCTTTGCCTCATTTCTTACCTGACCTTAATCACTGAATGGACAAAAGGCCAAGGTCCCCCACTACATCTGGGGCCATCTCCAGTCTTCCTGATTTATATCTTGCCACTAGACCCAGATGGCTCATGAGTAGAGAGTGAGGCTGGTGACTTTGCATAGCCCTCTCTCAAATTCAATTCACTTGCAAGTTATGGCATCTTGAGGGGTGCTCTTTGAGAATAAAAGACAAACAACAACAACACGTTGCACTATTCCTGGCACGTAAGTGCCTAATTAATGCTGGTGAACCATTGCACTGTTGCTCCCCTCCTGTATTACCTATCCATCGATTCATTCCCAGATACTTACAACATATTGTCAGGATCCCCATGCCAAGACCACCTCTTCTCTTTATTCTCCTCTCTTTTTACTATTAGGAGACGCCTGTTTTCTAGGCCCAGCAAGCAAGCTGTGCCCTGAGCTTGGCATAACAACAATCCTTTGTGCACACCCTCTGGATGAGCTCAGTCACAGCAAAATCTCAGGATTGTTTCATATCACCACCAGGTGTTTTCTGAGCTCAGACAAACATCTGCAGTACCTGTGTTCCAGTCATGAAGTCCTTGTATGAACCAAACTTGTCTCATTGTTGCTGTTACCCCTCCTTGTCAGAGCTACAGCTCACTGCATAGCCATTCTGGTATGTATTGGAGATTTGTCCATGCTAAAGCAGATCTGGATATCAGAGGAGGACCCTGAACATGTGTCTAGTGTCCCTCCTTCAACAGAGAATAAAGAAAGCTTTTTGCTTATAACTGCTGTTATCTCTTTGATACAAAAATCTGGTCATTTTACTTTCCTCAAAAGTCTTCAGTGGCTTCCTGTAACCTCTCAAGTAAAGTTCAGACTCCATTGCCTGACAAACAAGTCCCTCCCCAATCTAGTAATATCTTACTTTTCTGGCTTTATTGTATCTTACTGCCTTAAATACACTCTGCATTCCATCTACATTGTTTTACTCTGTGTTCTTCAAATACATCATTTACTCTCCTTCTGCCACTGTATCTTTACTTAAACTGTTCCAGATGACTAATTCTGTTCCCTTTCTGATGAATTTCTATTGAATTACTACCTCTGCTTTAAACTTTTAAAAAGGAAGTTTCCTCATCTCAGAGTTTATCCTATACCAATAAAATCACGGATGCAATATCTGTCTCTTATCCCCATCCCTATCCCTAACCTTTGAAACCTCAGAACTCCAGTTCTGAACCTGACTGACTTTCATGCTCTGATATATTCTTTCCTTGGCCTGTCTATGGAATAAAGAATACTACTTCCCAATATTCAGCACCGTTTTCTCTTGCTCCCCTGGGCTCAAGCAGGCCTCCTGTGGTGCAGAGATTGCTTGTATTGCTTTATGTTATGTCATTATTCATAAAAAAAAAATCTAGCTGCAACAACAACAAAAATACATGATTTACAGTGTTTACAGGATCGCAGGCGGTCATAATTGGAAGCAGCCTAAAATGCCATCTTGTCTAAAAATCTCTACAGCACCTGACCAATGGTTATCCATACTTGTCAACCATATATGCCATTTTGTATTCTTATAAATGGCTTCAGCTATTTTTTTTTTTGCAGAAACTTCTGCTTTTGTAGACATGAATTTGAATATGTGAATTTAATTTTTTCAACCTCAGATGCCTCTCTGCTTTGGACAATTAAGAATTGATTTAAACCTCTGCCACCTATTTTTTTAGGACAAAGGAAAGGTTCACCAAGGGAGGAAATATTGCCTTGGCTAATTCCTATCAGCTTCAGAGGATAAAATTGCTAAAATGGGTACATTGCATCTAGAAGAAGCCTAAAACATGAGAGGGGTTTTCCAGACAAGGAAATATACTGGCAGTGAAGGAACTTTATGTCTGGAAATTTACCAACTCCAATATTATCTTACAGCATATGGCTATCAACAGTCCACAGGCCATTCTGTCTCAGTGAATTCTTTCACCAGCAAGCTAATAATGGCTAAGAATGCAACTGATTTATGAGTTTGTGATGTGGGTGGAAGGAAGATTTTAGAGGACACAGGAAGGAATCCAGTTTACTGATGACTGCTTCACTGCCAACTTCTGGTTCTAGGCAGGTTACTTCATTAATTAAACTTTAGATTTTTACATAAATAAAATGAGTAAAACCACTTCCTTTAAATATTTGAAACGATTATGTACGTTGACTTCTAGTCCACCACTACCACCATTACTTAAGAAATTTGAACACGATCAAGTAATAAAGAAATAAGGTGAAGTAAAATTTAATGAATAATTTAAGGACACATGGAGACATTTGATGGAAACGGAAATACTGCCCTGAGCTGCATTTCTGAGCCTATAAACATCTTTGTATATTTAGATAATTTTCATTGATTTCCCTCACACAAGAGTTTTAGCCATAGCAGTGCTCCACTGATACATCATTGTGACATTCAAATGCCATCCTTCTCTCTACTCCCAGATTCCCAAAAGTTTCTTCAGATGAGCACAAGCTTTGGCAGATTCTACCAACACAAAAAATTGAGTATTAGGCTGGCATGGAACTGTAGTATATGTTTGTGGTCTAAGTTGAAGAAACACAACACCAGATTTTGACCACCAAATGATGATTTTGGCTAGTTTAACTAGTTTTTGTAGTTTAAAAAAATATGCTGCAATCTGCCTTCAAACTCCATTAATTCTTTCTCTGGAGGTAAATAGAATTTTTTGTTATAAGTTCTTTGGAACTGTCTTGAATCATTGCGTTGCTGAGAATAGCTAAGTCACTCACAGCTGGTCTTTATAAAATATTGCCGTTACTTTGTACAATGTTCTCAAATATTGCTGTTACTTTGTACAATGTTCTCCTGATTCTGATCACTTTGCATCAGTTCTTATAAGTCTTCCCAGGTTTTTCTGAAACCATCCTGCTTGTCATTTCATATAACACAGTAGTATTCCATCAAGATAATGTACCACAACTTGTTTAGCCATTCCCCAGTTGATGGATATCCCCTCAGTTTCCAGTTCTTTGACATCACAAAAAGTGCTATAAGAGTAATAAATATTTACTAAATAAGAAACAGCATGAATATTTATGTGTAGTTCCTTTTCCTTTTTCCTTTTTTTTATTTTTAAATCTCTTTGGGATACAGATCTAGCAGTGGCATTGCTGAATCAAAGGGTATGCATGGTTTTATGGACCTTTGGGTACAGTTCCAAATTGTTCTCCAGAATGGTTGGATTAGTTCACAACTCCACCAGTGTATTAGTGTCCCAATTTTTCCACATCCCCTCCAATATTTGTCATTTTCCTTTTCTGTCATGTTAGCCAATCTGATAGGTGTGAGGTGGTACCTCAGAGTTGTTTTAATTTGCATTTCTCTAATCAGTAGTGATTTAGAGCATTTTCTCACATGGCTATAGAAAGTTTTGACTTCATCTGAAAACTGCCTGCTCATATCCTTTGATCATTTACCAATTGGGAAATGGCTCATATTCTAATTAAATTGACTCAGTTCTGTATATATGTGAGAAATAACACCTTTATCAGAGGAACTTGCTGTAAAATTTTCCCCCCAGTTTTCTACTTTCCTTCTAATCTTGGCTGCGTTAGTTTTGTTTGTACAAAAACCTTCATTGTAATTAAAATGATCCATTTTACATCCCATAATGTTTTCTATCATGTATTTGATTATGAATTCTTCGCTTATCCATAGATAACCTTTACTTCTCTGCTTCTGTATCATCTGTTTCAGGTTCCTATTTTGTTTTCCTTTTTTTTTTTCTTCTCTTCCTACCCCTCTTCCCCTAGAATTGAAAAGAATAAACCAAACAGACCCAAACC